CTGGTTTCAGCGGCGGCGTCGGCGAGGAGGGCGGCAGAGGGAACCTCGAATGCACGCACGCTGCACCGCTGCCGTGCAACGAGGGAAGGCCTCAGCAGGCGTGTGGTGGCCGCTAGCGAGGGTGCCACCATTTGCCCTCGCCTAAGCGGCCAGAGTCGAGGTTTCTCCGACATGGCGCGCACATTTTTTTCTTTACTTCTCCCCTTACCCTTTCCCCCTTCCCCTCCCTCGTTCCCTTCCCGGTCGCGAACTTTCCCCCGGTCGACCAACTTTCCTCACTTTCCCCGGGGCGTCAAAAAGAGAAAGGGGAGCACGGCAGTCTCTCGCATGACAAACAAGCCCATAAAAAGAAAAGGAGGCGATTTTGTAAAAAAGAAAACAGCCCTCCTCTTGCATGACATGTCAGAGTGTCCCATAACAACGGCTAGCGCATCACACCCCTCTCCTTAAAATCCCTGTGTGGTGGCGGCGTGCCGTCCTCCCATCCCTCCCTTGCCTTGTCTGTTTTCTTTCTTTCTTTCTTTTAGAGTGTCCCATAAATAAATAAATAGAGCAGTCATCTCCAGGAGAGATGGGAGAGAGAGATGGGTGAGTTTTGTTGTTGAGATGGGCGACGCACGAACACAGAGGCACAGTGCGCACCCCGCCCCGCTCACAGGGCGTGCATCACACAGGCGTGGACTGTGTGACTCCTCGGGTTTCTGGGACTCCGTCCGGACTCGACAGAGGTGTGCTAGTCGCTACAGTCAGTTGGACGGCTCCGGCACGTCTGATAGGCAGTTCGGGCTCGAGTGAGGGCCGCGGCGGTCGCGGCCAGCGCGCGGGGCCAGGCTGGGGCTGCCGGGATGAATGTCAGAGTGTCCCTTCTTGTAATGCGAGCACGACGTTTGGAGAGAGAGAGACGAAGGGTTTTTATTCGCTTGCTCTTGCATCCACCGCCGTACCTGTGCGCGCACCTGTATCCACTTGCGCTCCCTCCGCTTGCGTCGCTTGCACCACTAACCGCGAGCGCGCTGCCCTCCGCGCTCTCAGAGATGCCAACACGCTCGGCGGCGGTCTGCTCCATCTGCTACGACGGCATCCGGTGGGACGACCGCCTCGTCCTTCCGTGCAAGCACGTCTTCTGCCGCGGCTGCATCGACCACATGTGCGCGCGTGCGTGGGCCGACGGGCCAGCGCATCTCGGCCTCACGCCGATTCGGTGCGGCGCCTGCTCACAGGTTCCTGCACCACCACCGCACGGCGGACGACTACGCGTCGCAGTGTCCGATGTGCCGCGCGCCGCTCATGGGCGAGGCGGATGAGCTCTTCACAAAGGGCTCATGGTGCCTTGCCGGCTTCCAGCGCCAGGTCGAGCTGCAGATGCACGGCCTCGATCTCATCTTCCCGTTCGAGATCGGGCACGCGATCACCGCGTTTGAGGACTGCATCACGGCGGTGGAGGGCCACGCCACCGGCCCGGGCGGGCTGAACCGCATGGCCGCCGCAGCGCAGTACAACATCGGCCGCTGCTACGAGCTCCGCTGGGCCGCCGCCGACGACCTGCGCAGCGACGAGGCGCAGCAGGACGCCCGCGACGCCATGCGCGCGTACGAGCTGGCGTTCGAGCG